AATTTTTTATTGTAACCAGGGTGGAGGATACAGTTAACACGCGGGATACTTCATACCATTTGACAACATACAGAGCGCGGCAGCATACAGTAGCCATCCTTTTCTAATGTTTTCTCTGTCAGAATTTTAATAACGAATATTTCAAAACTATTTTCTTTTTTTCACGAGTCACTTTACACCCAACACTGAGAAACGAGCAACCGACTTTAAGCGACTACCTACGTCGACGACGGGCGGCATCGCTTACCGACTCGTCCCTACGACTCCAGACCCCGACCTTGCAGCGGCCAATAGCGTGACATGCGCGAACCGCGCTTTGTTACTTGCCATTGGTTCGCTAGTCTCGAACCAATAAACACTATACATGATTATTCGCGCGGAATATATTGAATATTTGAATTGCTAATCCGTAAATTTTCTATTTATCTGATTATTTAACATATTAAGTCTTTACAGATAGATACTCTTTCGATTCCGATTCTCGGCAGATTGAGGATATTTTACATAAAATAAGATTATAAATTATAAAAGTCTAAATATTAAAAATTAAAGAATGTTTTTTATAATTTTAGTATTAGAAATTGAACATTATACACATTAGAACTTAACTTAACTTAATTTAATTTTATTTAATTGTTTAATTATAATTTGTGATGTAACGATTGTTGTAACGATGATAATTAATTTTAAAATAAGAAAATTAATTTTAAAATATTGTTTGGACGATAAATAAATATTTCTTTTTAAACAAATAAGATTATCTTTATATCTAATCTTTATATCTATCTATTCTAAAAAAAATTCTTATTAATATTTTATTTTGTTATTGTTAGTTTTTTTAACTTATTAATATCAAGTATTATTAATATTTTATTTTATACTATCGCTACTTTTTTCGATTCTAACAATATGATAGATACTATATCATATGTGCTCGTGGCAGCATAAACGACAAATATCAGATTATGTCTAATCAGTGTTAAACTTTGACATTTGTTTTAACCTTACTAAATTTATAATTCCTTTTGTGTATCGTGAATCAGAGAATTGTGCTTTAAACGGATAGCTTTTAGCATTTTAATAATGTAATCAAAGATATTAATTTTGATCGATTCTTTTTCATTGAAGGTATGACTAACATTTTGGATTTCGACTATTATTTTTACGATTATTCGAATCGTACTCAAGCCTTAGAAAATATAATCGCAAACATTCCCACATGGTTGAGTTTCGTTCGTATTGTTCTTGTTATATTACTGCGTGCTGGTTATGTATTAATACATATTGGTAGTGTACCAGTGAACAACATCAACTTAATTTTATTGCAAAATATTATTGACATTTGCTGGATAACGATGGTTTATTCATTACTTGGAATTATCATCGCCTACACTGGCGACGTACACGGTGTGATAGGCGCAGGACATTGGATTGGTGACCACGATGTCGATAAAGACGAACTCATAACCGGCTGGTCAGCTGTGGTAATCACAGCTGCAATTTGTACGAGCGGCATAGTTGGTCGGACACATACCGTCGGTTATATTATCATAGGATTTTTGCTGGCTGGTGTAGTGCAACCATTTTTAATCCATTGGATTTGGACACCTCATGGATGGATGCGAAGAAATGTATTAAATAAACAACACGTTCATTTTCACGATTATACCGGATCTGTGGTTATTCATGTCCTTGGCGGATTGACAGGATTGATAGGTTGTTTGACACTTGGACGAAGAATACTTCGCTTAGACGCTATAGATGAAGCAAGTATTGCTGTTGGTGCCTCAGGAAATGTTTTTGCTGGTTACTTACTTGTGTTTGTAGGTCTACAGGTAAAATTATATATTATTAATATATTAATATTTTCAAGTTTTGTTTGCAAATTTATATGAAAACAATATGAATTATTTTCGTTGATTATTTTGATCTTTTTAGAGCCTCAGTTTGACAAATATTCAATTAGAACATTTCGAAATGAAAATTAAAAGAAAACACAATGTCTTTGTCAATAATATATTGGCCGCGAGTGCGTGCAGCTTATTTGTCGTAATCTTTCATTTTGCATATCCTCAAGAAGAGTTTAACCACTGGACTGTAATGAGATGTGTACAAGCAATGATAGCTGGAATAGTAGTAATATCTGCTGGAGCGGATGCTTATTCTCCATTGGCAGCGATTATTCTGGGCGCAGTCGGAAGTATCATTTTTTATATAGTTTCGAGATATATATTTCGAAGTGCACTTGAAGATTATTGCAACATTGTAGCTACTCATCTGGTCTGTGGTATATTGGGAACTATCTTAGTCCCCTTTTTTTATGTACAAGAGGATGACGATGTGAAATTAGTTTTATTAAATTTTGGCTGGCAAATGATTTGTTTAATCGTAGTAATTGTTTTAGTTTCAATTATTATGTATACTGCCTTTATTATTCTGCAATTTGCCGGTTTGCTAAGAAATAGATCGGAATATTTGAATCATTTAAGAGCTAATGTAGCTGAAGGAAGAAATCAAAGAAAAAATTTATTAGATAGATTGTTCCGCATGGATAGAGATGCCGTTTATCTTCAACCGGGTATGAGTTTTGGAGAACCACTCGGTCTTCGTAGAACACAAGAAAGAGAAGAATAATACAGACCAGATGAAGCGAAAACTTAAAAAAATCATTAATTTATATAAAATATAAATTTTTAAATATTTATATAAAACCGACTAATCAAATTATATCAATTAATGCAAAGAAAAGAATTTGATTTTACTTCAAAAAAAAAAAAAAAAAAAAAATTAA